AAGAAGTTGCCTTCAACGTCTGCTCTTACCCAGAATTGGTATCCCTGCAACACATCATGGTGAGTATGTTTAGCTCGAATTATGACAAGAACTTGCTTGAACATGATCAATATGTAGGAACCTTGCTTTCTCTCTGCCAAGATCCAGCTTCTCCTGGTGAAGCCAAACCAACAAAAGCAGCATTCCCATTTACGGAATCGTTATTGCCGGGCCTGACAGAGTAATGTATCCTCATCAGAACAGATATCGTTCTACATCACGAGACACAGAATATGACTGAGAAATCAGACAAGTGTTACATACTCGTCTACAACGAGTAGTCTACCGGAAACAGAGCCTCTTTGCTCGCTCTTTTGGAAGTCTGTTGACGCAGGAAATTTGTACGGCCAGCTTCCCTCTTCAACCCGCGCCTAAATCAAGAACAAGAAAGCTCAGTGTAGATGGGAAAAGAAGAATGTTAGAGAACACTTTATGCTCCAAGGAAATCACATACAGTAATATTAGTTTTCGATGGGAAAAGAAGAAAGACGGCCTACCTGCTTCTTGGCGTCCTCCCAGAGAAGCTTCGGATCCGATTTCGTCCAAGCAGAATTAAGGTAAATGAACACAGGGCCAAACACCTTCTTCCAGTATTCTCCGTTTCTGACTCTAGGCACAATGTCGTCCCCGGTGTAATGAGAACTCACAAAGATCTGAAATTTGGGGACAAAGAATTTGTACCAAACAAGTGAACCAAAATCAGTGCATCTTTTCTCTAACATTTTGATGCAAATAAGTCTGCAAGGTGAAAGATATCGGAGGCACAAGCATGGTACTCACAGCGAGGGAGGTAGGACCAACATGAGACGTCAGCTCCTGCTTCACAGGCCCTCCTGACTTAAACTCATTACTTGGGGTGATCACCCAAAACCCTACGGAAGGATCAGAAGAAATCCATCCATGCACCATACTGTCCTTGTTCTCACTGGAATACTGGTATTTATCATCCACCTATGCAATCATTCGGTAGATTCAGATGCTGCGCGCCTGATCACTGCTATTAACTGCATGAAAAGATAATTCAAAAGGAGACTCCTTTCTTACCTCCCCTCTCAAGGCTGCATTAATTGGGTTTGTCAGTCTGACTGCTTCTGGGTAATCCAACTTCTGTGACCTTCCGGGCTGGCGATCTTCTGGCATGGGCATGATTCTTTGTCTGTTGTCTGCAATGGCCATGTAGTGAAACCTGTTTCACAGAAGAAGTGTTAATGAAGAACAAGCTTAGGATCTATATAGCGAACATTACATGGTCAACGTAAAAAATTGCATGAGGAAAGGTGGAGATCATGTACTTGTCCTTTCTAAGCTTGAAAGCCACCCTGGTCTCTCCTAGATTGCAGTCGGGCAAGTCTTGAAGGTGTTCATATATGGCGTAGGTGTAGAAGCCTGAGCTGCCTCGCAACATTACAAACCTACAGAATTATAAGCTCAATCTCAATTAGCTAAACTACATGTATTTGCTTCTTGACAAGCGCAGAATCTGCGGTGCAACCTTTTGTCGATGTTTAAAGGCACAAGCTCGTCTCGGGAGGAGGGATCCCAATGTGTTCTGAAAGAGACCTCAGCCTGGTTTGCATCTTGCTGCACTACGTCAAATTCTGTTCCGTGTATTCTGTAAGCCAGTTGAAGTGGTTAGCAGAAGCTAAAAGGTTACGGGAGGAAGAGAGAGATAAGCAGCGACACACACTTCTGAAATATGCCAGAATGTCGATCTGATGGATTCCAAACAAGATCCCAATACCTGCATAACCAGTGGATGATAAGATCGATATGTATTTGAGGGATCAAAAAAGATTAATTGCGGCTATATATTTGCATACCCTCTATTGTCTTCCCTGTTGTTGACTTCCATTACATTATCAAGTCCATGATATTTGACTCCCGTAACGAAACCTCCGGGGTTCGACAACGTGAGTTGGACGATGCCATTGTCCAACACAACCTGCAAATCTACTTGTGTCAGACACATCGCTCAAACTACTCCGACCATTGACGAAACCAAAAGGATAGCTTACATATTCGCGTTCGACGTGCACCGTCACACCGCCGTCGGTGGCGGCGGGGCGCAGGTCGTCTGAGGAAGCGAAGCTGGTAAGGATTGCGCTGCATGCAGTGATGACGGATTAAGAGAGATGGTAAAAGAAACAGTCGATGCAAGTGTGGTGTATCTCTGTTAGCTTCTACTTACACGAAGATGATGCCATGCAAGGCCGTGCGAACGAGAGCCATTGGGAAGCTTAGATTGTTGGCTTTCGATAGTAAATCAAGGAAAAAAAGGGAAGAAGATGATAGAAGAAATGAGGAGTGCTTTAAATCCGTATTATTCTGGATTTATAATAGTTAAAAGGATAGAGTATAGATTTTTTAAACAAAAAAGAAATCAATCATAGTTCAACAAATCTTCTCATCGTCATCTATTTATCTTAATCTAAATTTTTATCTTTTGTTACATCTAATCTTAACTATTTAAATTAATTTTATTATATCCTCTTAATTTAAAATAGTTATAAGATCAATCTCAATTAGCTAGCCTACTCGTATTAGCTAGCCTCGGTGGGAGGGATCCCATTGTGTTCTGAAAGAGACCACAACCTGGTCTGCATCTTGCTGCACTGCGTCAAATTCTGTTCCGAGTATTCTGAACCCAGTTGAAATGGTAAGCAAAATGTAAAAGGTTAGGGGAGGAAGAGAGACATGAGCAGTTACACTCGCATATCAAATATGCCTGAATCTCGATCCCAATATGGATTCCAAATAAGATCCCAATACCTGCATCACCAGTGGGTGATAAGATCGATATGCAAATAAGATCCCAATACCCTCTAAAGTCTTCCTTTTCCATAACTTCCATTATATTATCAAGTCCATGGTCTTTGACTCCCGTAAGGGAACCTTCGGGCTTCGACAGCGTGAGTTGGACGATGCCATTGTCCAACACAACCTGCAAATCCACATCTGGCAGACACATCGCTCAAACTTCTCCGAACCATTGACGAAACAAAAAAGATATCTTAAATATTCGCGTTCGACGTGAACCGTCACGCCAGCGGCCGGACGCAGGTCGTCTGAACCAGTGAAGCTGGTAACGATTGTCCTTCGTGCAGTGATGACGGATTAAGACAGAGGGTATAAGAAACAGTCGATGCAAGTTTGGTGGATCTCTGCTAGCTTCTACTTATACGAAGATGATGCCACGCAAGGCCGTGCGAGCGAGAGCGATTTAGGAGCTTAGATGCCCACGAGTTGCTGCTATGTGGAAAGATGAAGAAGGAGATGCGTGATGAACCACGTAGTTGCTGCTATGTGGAAAGATAAACTTAATTTTAATTTTGATAATCAACTATAGTTAATGTGTCCTAACTTACTTTTTTTTTATATATTATCGTGCTTGACATTAAGAAAGAAGTAAGAACCTAATTATTATAGATAATTATTATCATATCAATTGTGTCCCATTGTACTTCGGAGTAAGGATTTATCTATTTTAGAGCATAATATCTCTTTTAGAAACTAAAAAAATTATTTCTTAAATAAAAAAAAATCGATAGTGACCTTTGTCAAACATGCATGCTCTTGGCATAGAGAATGCCTTGTCTGATTAGGGTGCATCAAATATCGTAATGTTTATGCTATAGGTGGATATATTATACACCAAAAGATATTTTGCTTAATTAAGACGCTTCAGGTGCTCTGATGTTTATAGCTTAGGGAAATGCATCGTCTCGGAGAAGATTATTATTATTTATTTAGAATGTGTTGAATGCTTTAATGCTTATCTCAAGGCCAGATACATAGTGCATGTGGGAGATATTTTCTTGATTATTGTGTATGGGATGTTCATTTGTGTGGTTAGGACACATTTGGCATTTTGATGGGCATAGGGGAAGCTTTGAGTGCATTGACCAGTTTGATGCTTATTGAACACGATCCTGCATGGAGGGATGTTTTAGTTAATTGTGGTGCTTTAAGCACTCTGATATTTATGTTATAGCGAACATATCATGAGTAGGGAGATGTGCTTAGTGCATTAATTTCTTCGTAGTTGTTTGATTGATTTGATCGAGTAGGTCAGGCATTCTTTTTTTCTTTAATAGTTTGGATTAGGCATTTTTTGTTCGATAAGAATGGTCTAATATTTTTCATCTTATAAGAGTGGGTTAAGAATCTTTGATCCGACGAGTGAGCCATGCATTTTTAGGCTGACACGAACAAACATTTTTTGCTTGATGAGAGTGGGTTGAACATTTTTGGCCCAGTGAGAATTGGTGAAATATGTTTAGGTTATGTCATTGATGAAGTTATGAATGAGTATAAAAGGATGAGGGTTGGCCACTTTACAAGCCTCAATGTTGGAACATTTTGACGTAGTTAGCTTAGGACTTGTTATTGCCTTATAGATGGGCTATTTGGAAATATATTCTTAATAAAGTGGAACTCACTCCTTTCGCAATGGCCCAAAGAATAACATGGAAGCATGAGGAATATGGGAATATCACTCCTTATCATTTTCTTATAAGGTGTTCGGAAAAGCCCAACATATGTGGGTATCATAAGTAGTGTATACAATCATTTAAGTCCTAAATGCCACATGTTCTCCCAAGGATTTTAGAACGTGAAGATGAGAGTTGGTGGAAATATATTTCTTTTGTATCGGTTGGGTGAAAAAAATTGATTATGGAGATTGATTTTATTGAGTTCTTTCTCGAGTCAGATCTTGTGTCTCATATCATCAAGATACTTATCCATCTCTTATAGAGATTTATATAAGATAAGACTTATCTCATAGGTCGAGTGTGCCTCGGGTTCATGCTAATGCCAAACTAGATCATTGTCGACTTTAGGCAGTAGTTGCGACTCTGGATTGTCATTGGCATTGTTGACCTAGGGCTCTCTGTAGCGTTCAACAATAGTTCTGACTATGGTGCAGCAAGAACTTTACGTCATGATTGATGAGCCATTAGGTCTTGTGTTGCTACTAGTTAATTATAGGAGAGGGTGGATGATGGTTTACATAATCTCAAACACAAAGCTTGCACTTGGTGAGTAAGTCCAAGAAGGGTCTCAATAAGTTGATCTGATCGACTTTTTTACTATATTGTTGCATTTGACGTTGAATAAGAAGTATGAACTCGTGAGATGACTTGTTTTGAAGATTCATAACATTGGTGGTTTTCTAGAAGTATAGTAAGCTCCCATATATTTATTTTTATTAATAATATAATTTTTTTCATTTATAGTTTATCATCATTTTTCTTCTCTACGAGCTTCTTCAAAGATTAATGGATTATATCATGCAAAGAGACAAAATAAAGAAAACTTATCATTATTAGTATCGATCCTTTGAGTCATATTATATAGCTCCTAGATTATTCTTATATTTTTAAATAATATTTTTCTTTTCACATTGATTATTATGATTATAATAACATTCAAAGGAGTAGTATCTATATCTTTTGAAAACATAACATTACATTTCAGATCTTTTAAAATTTCTATCATATCCATAGCCTCCACCATATCTTTAATCATAACTGGCTAAAATTTCTTTATCACTTTCGTTGTTTTGAAATTCTTGATTGGGCTAATTTCTATCACTTCTTCCTCTTTATATATGATCGCTTCCTCTTTAATATTTTAATTCACTTTTGTTTTTAAGCTTGGTTTGGAGTACTTGCTCTATAGATTTTTCTTCTTTTTTTATATGCCTTTATTTATAAATTTGAAGAGTACCTATTAGTTGTTCTAAAGATATTTCTAAATCTTTAAACTCTTCAATTATTATAATAATAAAATTAAACTTTGGATCTAGATATCTTAATATTTTCTTATTGCTCTTTGTTCACTTATTTATTCATCATTTTATCTCATTTGATGAATAATAAAAGTAATTTTTTAAAAATTATTAAAAATAGATTCAAAAGTACCTTGTTGTAATTTTTCAAACTTAACTCATAAAACTTGTAGACAAAGCTTTTTTACCTTGTTCACACAACTAAATATTTTGTTAAGCATTTCCCAAGCCTCTTTTGAAGTATTTGCTAGAGTAATGATTTTGAATATTATATCATCAAGCTCTTTATAAATTACGAGCAAAGCTTTTTTCTCCTTCTTCCTTTTATTTTTGATTTTTTTTCATACTTCTACATATATTGCTCCTTCGATTGAACTTGGTTCAACAAATCCATCTTTTATAAACTCCTATATATCTTGAGAGCCTAGAAGGACCTTCATTTAGATGCACAATATATCATAATTTTTTTTGTCAATCTAAGTATTCGAAGTTGGATGGTGCTTGAGGAAGAGACCATAGCCTAACTTGAGCCTTGATACTAAAAGTTGAACTATGTAGGGAGAAAAAAAAAAGCTATCACATAAAGAAAGAGTAGGATAAACAAAATATTATAAACAAAAAGCTATCACATGAGGAGTCTATATAGTCCTCATATATACATTACATTTATTCCATTTAATATGAATCTATCTTTTCTAAGAAATTCTTTCAAGAATCAATAATCAATTTTGGTTTATTCTTCTATAAGTCTTTAGTATTTTACCTCTTGATGCAATGAACTTCTTCATGATAACTTAATAATTTTAATTCCAGCAAGAAAGGCCCGAGAAAATTTCAAGAGTTTAGGGAGTTATGAGAATTTGTGATAAGAAAGTAACTAAAGAAACCCTCTTTTATAGCATTTATTCTACAATATCATCAATCATGAAAGATTACATGCTTTAACGAGAGAACATTCCCTTTAAATATCGTGCTGATTTAGCATGCACGTGTGCTGTGTTTCAATTAGATGTAGATAATTGTATACCATTTTCTTCCTATTGCAATTGGGGTAGGGGTTTGTCTATACTGGAGCACAACGTATATACTAGGAACTCAATAGTTGTTGTCTACATTAAAAATGGATATAGCATGCTCTCGACACCTTCATCCAAGATGAATGCATAGGACATAGGGGATGTTTTGCTAAGTTAAGGTGCATTGCATGTCCTGATGCTTTTGTCTTGGGTGGATGTATCATATGCAAAAAGATATTAACTTGGTTGGAGAGCATCAGATGCTTTGATATGTCATGCACCAGAGAGATGTTTTGCATGACTATAGCACATATGTTGTTTTGATACTTATATCCTCGGATGATGCATCACATATAAAATGTTTTGCTTGATTGTAGTGTATCAAGTCTTTTAATACTTATATTTTATGAGATATATCATGCATGAGGAGATATTTTGCTTAGTTCATCAAGTGCTTTGATGATTATATCCTAGATGGATGTATTGTGCGTAGTGAGATGCTTTCTCAATCAATTAGAACACATCTTATACAATGAGATGCTTTGTTAGGGTATATTATACGCTTTAATATTTGTATCATGGAAAACACATCATGCTCGATAAAAATGCTTTACTTAATTAGAATGGGCCAGTCCTTTTTTTTTGGTCAAATGAGAGTGGTCAACCATTTTTTTTGTTGTTACAAGTATGTTGGGTAGAACATTTTTGTTTCTATGAGAGTGGGTCATGCATTATTAAAACGATGTGGGTGGTTTAGACATCTTTTGCCCAATAAGAATGAAAAAAATAATTTTAGTTCGACAAGGAGGCCTTTTACATATTCACGTTATTAATATTAACACAAAAGTAGGGGGTGTTCTAATGGTAAAAAACAGCTAGGGGAGATCATATTTCAAGCCTTACAAGACTTGATTGGGTTCAATCGGCTTGCCAAATAGTAAAACAATTGACTCGAGGGACAAATGACCAGTTTACCACTCTCAATAGTCATATAACGAATATTTCTAAGAGTATTTTGATCATTTCATAATTAAAATATAAAAATATAAACTTATCCCTTCCAACAGATTAATAAAAGCCAGTTTTAGGGATATTTTAAAAAGGAAGAATCCCTTAAAAGCTAGTCCATTGTAAACCAATCACATGAGTGATAGCATATGTGACTTGACACGCAGTTTTTTTGCTTATTATTATTATTTGATATTTTATCACTTTATATTATTTTTTGTTTGAATATATTGTGACGTCTATGGATCTGTGCATTGGGAATCGGTTCGTGATGAGATCACAATAATGAGACCGATTCGTCTTTAAACACAAATCCTAACTAATCCCGGTAATAGGTTACTCGAGAGGGACATCGAGATAACCGGATAAACTGGTGTGTTGTATACCCGTCCATATGATGGATGCAGCTGGTCTCATAGTTGCTCGTGTGAGGACACTAGGGATACAGTACAGGTACTCACTGAATAATGAGTTCACTAATTGATCCGCTTACGGAATGTTGGATGGTTGATGATGCCTTATTGTCATACATTCCGTAGTCCTAGTGGTGTATCTAGTTCTTAGACTTGAAATACCAAGGATGTCCTGTATGAGTACTCCATTCTTTAATACTAGACTTATAAGTCTAGAGGTTTCAGATCTAGTACAACTACTCATGGGAGTGGTAGCCAACCTTACGAGGACTATTGAGTGTCGATAGAGAATCATCTACTTTCGATGTCATGAGAGAAAAATCTCATGTATTCTTGCTCAAACAAATCTTTGGTCATGGTCATTCGGATTGAGAGAGAGAATTCTCCGGGAGAATCTGATTAAAGCGAGACTCGAGCAGAAACCGTATGGGTCTGATAGCACTATACCCGGTATACAGTTTTTGAGATATTAGATGGATAAGGACTATAGGTATCTAGTAACTAAGGACAGACAGGTCCAATGAATTAGATTCTCATATATCGTCTAGGGATTACAGCATAGTGGCATAGTACGTCCATGGTCGATGAGTCGAGTGAATTATTATAGAGATAATAATTCACTGAGCCAGAAGGAGTTCTGATAGGTATGACTCATGACCAGCTCGATATTGGGCCTAGAGGGTCACACACATATGGTAGGCATTATGATAAGTAGAGGTTTGGATATGAGATATCCGATAGAGTCCCTCTCTTATTGGATATCCAATAAGCCCCCAAATTATTGGATTCTATGGATGAGATCCAATAAAAGCCAATGATAAACTATTGGATAGAGATCTACTAATCTAAGAGGCTTGGGTAGTTGGATGAAGATCCAATACCCAATATGGTAGGATTCATTAGGGTTAAGTTGACAAGAGACCTCTATAAATAGGAGGGAACTAATGGTTCATAGGCTAGAGCCTCTTTGGATTATCATCTTTTATTCTCCTCCCCTTCTCCTCCTTAGATAACAAGCTTGGAGTTTTGAGGAGCATCGTTGTAGCCCTATTATGTGGACCACTGCTAGAGAGGAGGATGCTTGACCTCCTTCACCCTCTCCTAGAGATCTACAAGGATTCAGGAATATACGATCTCCCTAGGTAACATAATTTATCTTACATATGGCTTTTAAGTTTCACAGATTTTACGTACCAATCTTCGCATGACAACAAACATATCTATAGAAAATTTGAAGATTTTGTTTTATGTTCTTCTACTGCGCATGTGATGTCGCCCCCTAAGATTTCTCCTATAATGGTATCAGAGCCAGGTTGTTCATGCAAAAGATTGATTTTGAACTATGTGTGTTGTGTTTTGGAGAAGCTTTTGACATGAAAATCATTGACGTAAAAGCGAGAAAGGGCTACAACTGTTGTTGCCCTTGCTACCCTCGTAGATGGTAGCTTGTTGCCATCTGCGTGCGTGTAGTCGCCTGCAACGGCGGCCGTAGGCAAGCAGCACAGCGCTAGCACACGCACAGGCATTATGCTTGCAATAGTCGGCCGACGGCCTACTTGCAGCCGGTGGGAGCTTGTAGCCCACACGTGCCCCACCCGTGGGCGCTGCACGGGCACAATGCCCGTAAGGGCGGCGCTCGCCCGCGGGTGAGCCGCCTGCAAGGGCAACTCCTACAAGGGGCAACGGTCGCCCTCAAGGGGTTGTACCACCCGTAGCGGTGCTTGCAATGGTGCCCACCCACATGGGGTGGCACCACCTGCGGGCGAACCGTCGGGGCAAAGGTGGCGCCCTCGCCCCCCCTCCTACAATGGCCACCGCTGGTAGGGTGGCGGTGGTTGTAGCACAGCTTAGGAGATGGGGAGGTTTAGGTTTTTTTTAGCAAAAGATAGTTTTGCCCCTCGGAATTTTAAAAATTTCGAATTCTATCTTTTTTGTCTAAATTACCAAAATACCCTCTCATGATTTCAAAAATATTAATTAATTAAAAAAATTAATTATTATTATTATTATCTAGTAGTCCTATATGATGTGGATGGATGATCACGGGCTGTGTGATGTGTGTGTACTTATGATTATTATTAATGGGGCCTACGAGCCTCCATTTTATTTCTCATTTATTATCAAGTCTGTGTATCTATGATTAAGTTGTAATCACATAAGGCGATATAGTAGGAGCATAGAAGCGATAGCGAGACCCACAAGACGGACGATCGTGATATATAGAGATGTGTCGAGATGCCGGCAGAACCGATGAGGATGAGATGGATGATCACAGGGCATGAAGATGCATTGGTGCACACATAGATCTTGATATGAGTGATTAGGCCCATTGGCTCGGGCCTGATCACATTAGGCCATGGTCCATGATCATAT